TTACTACTACTTTAAATCCGGCCTTTTCTTCCATTTTTGTGCGAAATCCTATTTCTAAAGCTCTTACAGTCTTTACTGATGGATTACCTACAAGGGGTGTGGTTGTCTGGCAGATTCAACAACAATGGTACTCTAAATTTACTGCCACACAGACTTCAGCTCAACGTGCTGAGATGGCTGCTGTCATTTTGGCTTTACGATTGTTCAATGACCAACCTATTACCCTGTTTCTCCAACAATACGGCCTCCCCCAATAGGAAGTCCCAGCATGATTTATAGGCATGAAATGAAATTAAGCCCCTCCCCCACAAATTAAGGCCTATATTAAACCATGCGAAATGGTGGGGAATGGTGGGGGGGGGCTTGCCATTAGGAAGTACTTTTGTTGCACACCCGGATATGGTGCTGCCTGCGTTGACCCCGATACGAAGTGCCCCACCAACGCTGAGGTCAACATCGAAGCCGTCGCCACCTGCCTGCCCAAAGATGCAAAGGGGGGGGAATTAAGTCACCCCCGAAAAGACGGCCTAGCCATTTTTTCGGGGCTCAAAAGAAAATAAGACTCGGCCTTATTATATGAGAAACACGGTAACTTGATCGTTGATACTCAATATGTGTATTTAGCTATGCAATCTCTTCCCTTTTCTTATTGTGCTCTCTCTTTGGATAAGAATTTGTTATCCTTGTTTTTATCTTTAAAGAATAGTTTGGAAACTCGCTTGTATTCTTTGTATGTAGAACACATTCGAAGTCATACTCCCTTTACTAATGCTTTGACTGAAGGAAATCGGAAGGCAGATGAATCCTTAAGGGATGTTGCGTCTTTGTTTGCTGATCCTGTTGCCAGTCATTCTTATTTTCATCAAAATGCGAAATCGCTTGCAAAGCAATTTAAAATTTCATTATCTCAAGCCCGGGATATTGTCCGTGCTTGTCCAGCTTGTCAGCAACTGGCAGTTCCCTTTCCAGTGGGTGTCAACCCACGAGGAACCCAAGCTAATCAAATTTGGCAAATGGATGTAACTCAATTTTCAACCTTTAAGCCATACTGTTATCTTCATATGTCTATTGACACTCATTCACACTTCCTTTGGGTTACTGCTTCAAAACATGAACGTACTTCAGATGTTATTTCTCATTGCCTATCTTCTTTTGCTGTAATGGGTTGGCCTTCTCAGTTTAAAACTGACAATGGCCCCGCTTATATTAGTAAGGAATTTCAAACCTTTTGTCAGAAATGGAATATTACTTTAGTGCACGGAATTCCTTATAACTCTCAGGGTCAAGCTATAGTTGAGTAAGCTCATCGTACTTTTAAGGCATTGCTTCAGAAACAATTACAAACTGAGTCTGGCCCTTACCATCTGCAAAAGATTCAAAATCTCATTGCTGTAGCGTTATATACTTGGAACTATATAACCTTTTTAGATTCTCTTGCAGACTCACCTGTTAATTTGCATTTTTGAACTACTGAATCTTTAGCAAGGCCTTTGGTAAAGTATCGCCAAGCTCCAGATCCAACCTGGAAAGGCCCTACACCGCTGATCACCTGGGGTCATGGTTACGCCACCGTGGAAGATCCTTCTACTGGATAAGCAGTGTGGGTTCCAGCGCGCTGTGTTCGTCCATATCATGGCATGGCATCAGGGCCTTCACAACCCGATTCTGGATTTCAATCTTCATCTGAACATGGAAGTCCATCTTCCAAGGTCAACGCGCCTGCAACCCATCACTTGGGGCCAGGTTAAATCTACTACATATCAAGCTCAACAACTGCAACAGGCCTCATTACCTCAGACTCCTGAAAATCTTGTTGCTGCTGTTTTTGCTATTATTACTGCTAACTCTGTTACCATTTTACTTTGTATTTTCTTGTTTATGGTTAATGATGTTTCTGCTCAAAATTACACTTCTGTGGTTCATCTTACCCTAATTTGTGGGTTCGTCATGCCCAATACATGTTTATGACCCATGGCACAAATATTACTTTATACTATGAGCCCCCAATGGCATTTGGTCAAATTTCTTTTACCCCTAACTTGATCATGTCTTCTACATTTATTGTCTCACAACTACAATCTATTTTACACTCCTGGCTATTTTCTACACCCCCTATGCAATTGAATTCTGTCCGTTGGTGTTACTTGAAAGTTAGTCAATTTACAAGGGGTCTGTGTTTCTGTTGTCACGCTAAATACACTTGGCTTCATAATTGGTCTGATTATGATGCTGCTCAGCACATATTAAAAAACTAGGGAATTATAGTTATTGTTCTAACTACTATTGGTTGTCAGGTACCTTTAATTCTTCTTTGCATGGAATTAATATAGCTCCTGATATGTATCCTGACAATTTTCCTATTTTTAATGCCTCTGATCAATCTAATACAGGATCGATATGCGCTGGTTGGCAGCTTAAGGATCCTAATATGTGGTTCTTTTTTGATAAATATGCTACTAATGTTCATCCTCAGAATTATCAATGTGTAACTATAGGTTATTTTACTCTACCTGTTCAAATAGGTACGCTCCCATCAACTCAACAGTGGCGTTCCTCTCTGGGGCCTACATGTAATGATGAAGTCATTATTGACACACAATTGCCTTTTGGTTCTACATTTGGCCGTGCATTGGCAGGGGCCGTTACAGGAGTCCTTACTCTAGGCTCTTATCCTGGCACGTTAGTTGGATGCTGTGGATGTGCTGTACATTTTCATTCTTTGAATAAAACTATTGAGGATGAGCTTGCCAATTTACAATCATACATTCAAAATAATATCCATGCTCATTACTCACCTTTTGAGTGGCTAACCAATTGGCTCCCTGATTGGTCTTGGCTCAGACAGTTTTTCTTTTATGCTATAATTATTATTATTGTACTAATTGCAACCTGTTGTTTTATTCAATGTATTCCAAATTTACTTGCATTGTTTCGTCCTGCTTCCCCCTCTCTTAATCTTCTCCAATTGCGATACATTTATAAATCTTTGAATCCTCCATTTAAAATAAAAAACGAGGATATGTAATTGCAGGAATGTTCCAATCTCGGATGGCAAACCTCAGATAAAGAATGTTTCCAAGCAAATACAACTCAGGTAAACAAAGTCACTAATCTAAAGGAGGATTAGAGAGAGGAAGTAAACATATGTTAGACTTTAACTAGAAATAATTAATTGTATGGATTACTGTGCTAAACAGTAATGAAAGTTAAGCAGTAACCAAAGTTAACCAGTGATGGAGGATAACTAAAAATGTGTATAAATGCAAGACTAGATTCCAGTAAAGATCATCATGATTCAGTTGTTCATGATCAAACAACTCGACTGCCTCATCATTACAACAGTTGTGCTAGGATGGCTGTTCATGTTTCAAATTGCTCATGAAATAAACCTCTGAATCTTAAAAGTAAGAATTATTATTTGTGTTACTGTTTCTTTTCTGGCATTTTGCCATGACAGAAGTTATGATGGATAGCACTAGCACTTAGACTTATATACCGCTTCACAGTGCTTTACAGCCCTCTCTAAGCGGTTTACAGAGTCAGCATATTGCCTCCAACAATCTGCCTCCTCATTTTACCCACTTTGGAAGGATGGAAGGCTGAGTCAACCTTGAGCCTAGTTAGATTTGAACTGCCAAATTGCAGGCAACCAGCAGGCAGACGTAGCGTACTGCACTCTAACTACTGTGCCACCATGGCTTATGTATCATGGATACCCCAAAAACTATTACACAGTTTGGATGTCTATGCCCCACCCCAACTGTCATGTAACTGCATTTTGAGCATTGGCAACCAGTCCCCATTTAAGGTTGTTTGCAGCACCCCATGGTGACATGACCATGATTTACAATGTTTTTTTTCCTTCTGGAAATTAGCGTTTACTTCTGGTTTCCAGACAAAAACCACTCCACAGCAAACAATGATTTGCTTAATAACCATGGTGTTTACTTAATGACTGCTGCATTTGCTTTATGACTTGCTGCATCCCACTGTGTTTGCTTTGTGACTACTGCATTTGCTTAATGACTGTTGTAAAAATGTCATAAAATTGGGTCCAGTCACATGATGACCCACTTTATGACTGTCATAATTTATGACTGTAGCTTTGGGGCTCAATTATGGTCATAAGTCAAGGATTACCTGTACTTTTTTTTGTTTTCTTGCACATTTTCCATTGCTTTTTTTTTCCTTCATATTTTCTTTTATTGTTGTTTCCTAAGCTTTCAATATTATTATTAAAAAAAACAAACCCAAAATTATTCAAATGAGAAAATTCTTGCATCGAACCCATTTTTCTTTATCTCTAAGTGTCTCCTTTTCTAATTTGGAGCCAAAAAGTACATGGCATAGGTCTGTTTTGAGAACTTTTTAGATGAACAAAAGAGCATTGAAGACAACTAAGCTGAAATTGCCTTCACCTTGTTTCTAAAAAGCCTCAATTTAGTCCTACAACTGGTAGAATAAATCACAAGTATAGATACCTACCTGAAAAAGTTTCTGTAGGAATATTGGATCCTGCCTCTGTAGAACTGACCTGCCTTCCAGGCTTTTTCTTGGCAGGATAAGTACCTCTACACTATTTTAATTAGAACTCTTTGGCTTCTAAGAATTAGAAATTACCAATTCCCTATTTCAAGCTACCTATCAGTCCTAAAAAGGTTACCCTATCAATGCCAACCAAATAGTCAGTAAGCAGCCAACAGATTTTTTGAGTTCCACAAGGCACTTTATCTGGCTGGATGCAAAAATGGAGGTTGGAAAGAGGAAAAGAAAAACAAAAGCTGGCTTATTATTACCAGGTAGAATTGGGCCTTCCTTTTAAAAAAATAAAGTCTACAAACGATTTGATGTGACTTGGAAGAATTTGTATTCTGTGAAATTGTGCAGGCAACTTTATGCCCAAGTATGCATCAGCAAGATTTAGGTACCAAGAGGCACCCAGAGGATCGGAGCCAAACATAAAAAATGTAAAAGAGGTCCTGCATAAAAGAGGCACTCACCTTAGTGTTTCCAAAGGGAAATAGATGATGCTGGAAACTCCTTTGCTAGCCGGGCTGACTACTAAGAGTTCAGCAGTTTGAGAACTTAGCACGGTTTCTCCACTCACCTATAGCTCCACCCTGCTGTAGTCAACTCCCTTTCTGTGGCCAGCCCAGTTCCAGAGATTTGGTCATTGATAGGGACAAAAAACCCCAAATGGCTCTGCTGCTTCCTTTTTACAGGACGGGATCAAGAGCAAATACAAGTCTGGCCACCACCTCCTGCTTTAGAATTCAAGCCTGCTGCACAGAAGCGCTGCTCAGGTGCGCTGCTGCTGCTTAAACCCAGCCCGGGAAGTGCCGCAGTGCCAAGGAATATTTTAAAGGAGGTGAACCGCAGGCAGCGGGGTGGCGGTGGGAAGGAGGATTATTTCTCCCCCTTTTCTATTTCGCGATTTCTTCCTTTTTCTCAGACCGTTAGGATATTTTAACGGAAATGGCTGTTCCATTTGGGAGGCTGAGGAAAAGATCTCCCCGCCGTCAGTCCGCCCTGAAACCTTCCAAACGATGTGGATAAACAGCTCTCCCGCCACCGTCTGAAAGTAGCTCACGCCTTTAAAGCCGGGCTCGACTTTAAGTTGCGGGGGAAAGAGATCCAAGGATGGAGGTCTCTTTCCCAAAATGGCTTTTATACGCGTCTCTGAGCTTGGCCGGCGTTTTGGTCGTCCCTGTTCTTTCTTAAGCCGAGCGAGGCGTATAAAGAGGAGAGCGCAGCGGCATCGTTCCGCAGGAACCTGCAGCTATGTTGTCATTCTTTGCCGGGCAGGCGAAGGAGAGAGAGAACAAAATAAAAGGAAAGGAAAAAAGAAGGCAAGAAACAAGCCACACTAGTCTGCAGCCTGAAGGAAGGAAGCTTTCTCCCTTCTCAGGAATCGCCGGGGAACCTGGTTAGCTTTCGATGCATTTTTTAATAAGAGAGAGAGAGAGAGAGACGGGGACGAAGGAAGGTTGGAAGCAAAGCCGAGACAACGCGCGCAGAAGTCGGATGGAGAAAACGCTGATACTGGGGAGGCGCTGCGTGCGGCAGAAGGGGCGGGAGAGCCAGCCTTTCCTTTCCCCGCCAAGGATGCCACTCGCGGCCTCAAATCGCTGACTTACCGCCCAGGTTTCCGCCCCGCGCGGACACACGAAATTTTCGCCCTCCCCCCCTCGGCCCCAGGGGACTCCCGTTCGCGCTTTTTGAAGGAACGAATGAATGGAATTAACTGGGAAACGTTGTAACGCGTGGACCGCCGCTTGGCTTCTCCCCTTCCCCCCGCCCCGAGTCAGATCCGCAGTGGGGGTGGACTTGAGCAAGTTGTGCAAGGAGACGAGGGCGAACTCTCGCCCAGCTCTTGAAAATAGATAGACAGACAGACAGATAAAAAAAATCCGCGAGGAATAAAAGAGCGTCAGTGGAAGTTTCCTCTTCGCGCCCAAAACTAATAATATACATCTTGAGGAAACTACGTGAGATTCGAGGAACCGCCGCGGGCGACTTGCAGGAGGGGACAAAGGTCAACCCGCGGTCGGGCTTCTCCTTGGGTGCAAAACACCGACACCTCTTATAAATATTTCCATTTCTCACTGTCCTGTCTGAGCTGAAGAAGCTTCTTGGAGGGGAAGCGAAACATCTTCAACTACCTTCTAAAAAAGCACCTTTGGGACAGACATCTCTTCTAAGAACTGTGGAAAGGGAACTTCACGTAGACAGTAGTGTCACTCAAACTGGAAAAGCCCAAGGGGAACATCAGGCCAGCCATAAAACAAACCTACATAGGAAAAGGAATCAAATAAAAGGTATTAAAGAATCCCTATAGACAAAAGCCTATGTAATTAAGAAACCTAGACAAATAAGAAAAGGAAACCCTTACAAACACAGGACATACCAAATAAGCAAAACAAATAGACAAAAGACACAAAAAAATATAAATTACAAAAGAGACAGACAGGAGATTGCCACAAAACAAATATGAAAAAAAAACATTATAAAGCTAAAAGAGATTAGGAAAAACCGATAATACAATCTAACCACCCCGCAGAGTTTGCCTTCCACACCCCGCGGAGTTTGCCTTCCGGCGGGAATAAAGACAAACTCAAACAGGATTTGAAACATTAAGGACAAATACAAACATTCACACAAAATCAACTCACAAAGGGAGAAAGGGGTATAAAAACCAGGGACTTACTATAAGAAACCAGCTAGTCCAGGAACGCAGACTTCTCGCTGTCCACCGCCTTCCTGAAAAATAAAAAGATCCAGCTTTCAGGCAGTTGTCCGTATCCTTGCGCCATAGCTGTCCCAGCGGGAAAATCGAATCCTCGGAGGAAAGGCATTTTGACACCTTTCTACAGAACAATTAAAAATGGCTTGGATCGTGGGTTGCTGGCCCATCGATGCTGTGTTGGAAATCTGGTTTCCTTTATTTACTGACTTACTTATCAAAGGTGTTGATGTTATAGGGCTTCTTCCTGGTTTTGAAGCAATTTACACTCACAATTATAAAAGCAGGTTGAAAGCAGGCTGGAACAAAATATTGCACCTCTTTATAAATTTGTTCTCTTCACTTAGACCCAGATTGAAATAGATGGTGAGTCTGTCCACTGTTCCCCAAGTTTTGACTCTTCCCACCTGAATTTTGTCTAGCCTGAGAAAATATAAACTGCTAGCTGTTTCATGGTCATTAAATGGTACATGAGTGAATTCAGCATTCCCAAGTTTAAAACAAACTTCCCTGCAATATATAAGTTTTAGCTGGCACACTTGCATTTGAACATTTAATTTGTATATTATATTTATATCCTACCTTTTGTCAAAGAGAGCAAAGACATCTTGAATCCATTTCCAAATCAATCCAACAACAATCCTGTCAAAAAGAGAATACAGCAGAACTTCTGGTCATGACCATAATTTGTTCCATAACTGGCAATTTCTTTCTCTTCTAATGTTTTGTCTTCAGGAATTTCTGGATCAGGGGTCATGTTTAATCACCACCCAAGTATGTGTTTGTGACCAGATTCAAAAATTTTGTGAATTTTTGGGTTGGAACCCGATTTGGTCATGGTCAGAAGCGTTTGTGACCAGAGGTTCTACTGTATTTGTATCTCATGGATGAAATGTTGTGTCCTTGGTACTCTCTGAGCTTGGTGGTTTTCTTGCAGACATTTCCTTACCAAACCAGGTAACATCAGCACTAGAAGGGAGTAGGATTTGCTCTTGTTTTTATATACTAGTGACTTGCCCTGTCAGTGCTAGTGGGAATGGTCTTGGTGGTTCCATGATTAGGCTGTTGTTTATTGCTAGGTTACTAATGTGGACAAACAAGGTAACAATAAACAACAATTTACTCAAGGAATCACCAAGAACATTACCACCAACACTAATGGGGCAAGCCAGTATATATAAAAATAAGAGCAAACCCCACATCCTTCTAGTACTGATGATGCTACCTCATTTGTTGATGACCCAAGCTCTGTAAAGGACCTTGGAATACTCACCTCTAATGATCTAAGTGCTAGAGCCCACTGCAACTACATAGCCAAAAAGGCATTAAGAGTTGTTAACCTAATCCTACGTAGCTTTTTCTCTGGTAATATCACACTACTAACCAGAGCATACAAAACATTTGCTAGACCAATACTCGAATACAGTTCATCAGTCTGGAACCCACATTACATATCTGATATTAGCACAATTGAGAAAGTCCAGAAATATTTTACAAGAAGAGTTCTCCACTCCTCTACTCGTTGTAGAATACCTTATGCCACCAGACTTGAAATTCTAGAACTAGAAAACCTTGAATTACGCCGTCTTCAGTCTGATTTAAGCATGGTATATAAAATCATACATTCCAATGTCCTACCTGTCAATGAATACTTCAGCTTCAACCATAACAACACAAGAGCACACAATAGATACAAACTCAAAGTTAACCGCACCAAACTTGATTGCAGGAAATACGACTTCAACAATAGAGTGGTCAATGTCTGGAATACTCTACCCGACTCTGTAGTTTCTTCCCCAAACCCCAAAAACTTTAACCTTAGACTGTCTACTATTGACCTCACCCCTTTCCTAAGAGGTCTTGTAGGGGGCGTGCATAAGCGCACCAATGTGCCTACCGTCCCTGTCCTATTGTTTCTCTTATTCTTCTTTTATTTTTCTTATATGTACCCATTTCATGTATTCACAACTATGTATACACTTATACTTATTATCTTGTAAACAATTGGCAAATCAAATAAATAAATAAATAAAATAAATAAATAAAATAAATAAATAAATTTGGTACTGAAATGTCTGCAAGAAAACTACAAGCTCAGAGAGCACCAAGGACCCCACAACAATCCTCTAAGGCAGTTTGGACTAAAAGAGTGTCACTGGCCCAAAGTCAGCCACTGAAGGAGCACTTGAGGCCAGAACTTCCTGATTCTACACCCAGCAGTATAACAACACACACTGGCTCTCTCTTAACTTCCATCCTTGCTGCATTTCAAACAACAGAAGAGGGAGGAAAGTCCTCAGTTTGCCGACATGTACTGATTGGAAGTGCAAGAGAAGTATTCCCAGGTCCCTATGGATAGCAGCCAATTTCCTTAATTTGTTTATATGCTTGCACTGGATCATTTAAGTACAATCTCCTTTTCTTCCTCCAAACCAACAAGTACAAACTAAACAAATAAATTTGAACCCACGTTCTGAAAAATAGATTTATCCAGCAAATTGCAGACTACTTATTAATTTCATGCTTATGTGCAAATTTAAGCAATAGATGTTTTGCTGTTTTAGAAGAGATACAAGACATCAGGTGATTTGTACCTGTATGGTCTGCTACTGCCCAGCTCCTTTATGGTAGATGGTACCAGGTCCAAGGCCCAGCTCTTTTTCTTTTGGTCCTTTTTCCTTAGTTCTTATTTGAATTGCATTACCTTTCAGAGAACTCTTCACTGCAATGTAGCAAATACTGTACTGTTGCACCTCTTGACAGGCTGCTGGTATTACAATTTTTTTTTGTCATAGGTTATTGTGAAATGTCATCCAATTGTGTAATACATCCAAAAGTCAATTGACAGAAATAGTACCTGTACAGTATTTCTATACTCCTAAAAAGGGGTTGAGTCTACTTCTCATCCAATCCTA